TCTACCAGAACAATGACCCCAAGCACACTGCTTTGAACGTTAGACTCTGGCTGCTGTATAACTATCCTGAAATAATAAAAACACCACCACAATCTCCAGACTTAAATCCCATAGAGAATATTTGGCAAGAATTCGAATCAAGAATTCGCAAACACACCATTTCTTCAAAACAACAATTAAAATCGTAGCTTCAAGAAGAATGGGGTAAAATCACTCCAGAAATCACAAAAAAAATTAGTCGGATCCATCCCAAAAAGATTAAATCATGTTTTAAAAGTAAAAGGAAATCCAACAAAATATTAAAACCTTTTAAAAAATAAAATTTTTGGATAAATATTTGATGGGAAAAGTAAGTGTCCCATCACTTATGTGAGCCATATTTTGCTCCGTTCTAAACAATTGTATTTTTATTAAACTAATATTTTCATGTTTTGAGAAAATGTATGTTATGTAATAATTGTTACTAAACTTAAGTATGAAACACACTCACAAAACATTTTTACATGTTTTTTTAATTTATTTTACTACAGTTTCCTTTTGTAAAGCACAAGTGTCCCATCACGTTTGGGAGACACCGTATATAAATTTAATATATATCCTAAGTCGCGGTTTCGAGACATGATAAAGGCAAGTTAAATTTCTTCAATCGGCGCAATAGAATGGTAGATATAGAACTGTTCATTTTGTATTTTTGTGTATGTATGAGTGTATGTGTGTGCAGTGTACCTTGAATAGTTTTAAATGAAACATTAAGATTTCCTTTCAGAGCGAAATGTTAGAACCAAATAAAAACATTTCTTATTATAAGCCCATTTGCAATTGTTAGGAAAAAAAGACATTTATTTTGAAATTATAACTAACAATCATTTTATAATTATAACTAACAATCATTTTATAATTATTAATAATTTAATACTTATTTCTTCGTTTTTCGTTACATTTTCCTCGTTGTAAGGAATAAATAAACACCGTTTGATTACTATCCCAATTTTCGCCTTACAATCTGTTTTCACTGCAGTATGCAGATACCAGCAGGGAAAACAAGAAAGGTAAAGTAAACCTCTTTCCTTACTAAACATAAAACATGAACTGTTTGTTCTTCACCTCATAATGTATTTATAAACAATTAATATCACATGTCTTTATATAAAGTAATTAATATAATTTAATTAATATAGTGTTTTCATTATTTCAACACTTATTGATGTATAGGTATTTATCAAGGAAAAGCAGTAAATAATGATTTTAAATCAATATAAATCACATTAAATGTAAAATTCGATAGCATAGTTAAAATGTAAAGAAACATGTATCTATCTATACAAGTTATGCGACCATAGGTTTCACCTTCTGACCTTAATAAAGGAATATAATTTTTTTCAAAGATGGTGAATGTGCAAGATTCATATTGTTTTTTAGCTCTGAAGCGATAAATGACAACAAGCTGAGGCTCTCTCGTCTGACGATATAAAAATATTTAATAAAATAGTTAGAAAAGTAAAAAATCTGAAAGGTTTCAGATTTTAAATGACGTTCGAAGGGGCGTTTTTTTAACATTTTGTGTGTGTCGCCTTCATTTATGAAATATCAAATTCTACGTACTCGAACCATAAAATTCAGTTCAACAGCAATATCTCAAAATAGTTGTGAAATGAGCATATGTTTAAAATTTCCGATATAGAGTCTCGTGCGCTGGAGATAAATATGGTTTTTTCTTTCGTACAGTGTTGCCATTGCTCGCTTTGAAATCGTTTAGTTTGTTAATACAAAATTCGTTGAAGTGTTACAAAATATGAAATCGACAATAAAACAAAAATTTCTAATTCAAATTAGGGCTTTCACATGCCCATATTATATGGAAGATTACCTTATTCAAATTTCGATGGCTCTAGATACCGCCATTTTATCACAAACGAAAAACATACCTACATTCATGCAGATTCTTCATTATTTAATTTCTTTAAATATATTACAGGGCTCTAATATTTGGTGGCAACAATTTGAAAAGTGATTCGCCGTTTATAGCTCTCAACGCAAAATGACGAAACAAAATTAATAACCCTTCAGAGCAAATGGCTCTTTTGTACTAAAATGGACTAATGATATATGTTTTTCCATGTACATCTGACTAAGGTCCAGAAGATAAATTTTATTATGATTTTAATATATATATATATAATTTCAAAGAGAGGAAAGTTAAAAAGCGATTGCTTAAAAGTACATTCCATACTGTAGTTCCTGAGTAAATAGTTATAATGTACTTTTAAGCAATCGCTTTTGAACTTTCCTCTTCTTATTTATTTTAAAATTATTTAAAATTATTTAAAATTATTTTAAAATATAATTCTTATTATTTTAAAATTTTGCAGCTCAATGCGCAAAATTCTTGACCACATAAGTGTCTTTTTGTTCGTGTTTTCTTTCTACTTTCGTATATATATAATCGTATATATTATATATATTCGTATATATATATATATATATATAATTAAAAACATAAAGGTAAGAAATTTAGAACTAACATTTCACGAAGAATTGAAATTCATAATTAGTAAATTTCGAATAATCTTATAAATGCAACTGAAATATATATATATATATATTAATAACAGTAAAGTACTTTTATTTAATAAAATTAAAAGATATGACTGGCTCACTTTCCAAAAAACCTGAACTACCCTACCTCGTGTGAAGTTTCTTTAACAAAAGATGCATGTTTTTTACTTTCTAGAGTCTGTCATAATTTTTAGATATGACAGAACTGTCATAATTTTTAGATATGACAGACTTTAAAAACATTACACTAAAAGGGGAGAAAATATTAGGTTTTTGGAATAAAATGTATATTCTTTAGATATGAAAAAAATACGCAAAAATCTCAAGTTTTTCGCAATAAAAATGACATAAATATATGTTTTTAGATATGAAAAAATAATTTTAAAGAACACACTCATTGTGTCATTTTTTAAATACTTATTTTAGAAATTTAAGATTATTTCATTTTTCTTGTAATTCTTTTAGAATCTGTCATATCTAAAAAATATGCAAAAAATGCATGTATTTTGTTGAAAAATTCACATGAGACAGTCTTTCAGGGTTTTAGAAAAGTGAGCAAGAAAGGTTGTTTTGACTCTATCTTATTATCTATTAAACTGCAACTCTATATTCATATGGAATAATATTACAAAATATTTAGAAAACTTTATAATTGATTTTCAAAATTGCACAGTTTCGCTTTGTGCTCACTATCTACAATGTAATTGCTTAAAACCAAAGAACATTATTTGATTTTGAAAATTTTACTTACCATTAATATTTATTTAAAAATCAAGTTGTAGCAGTTTTAGGAATGTTATTTTTTAATTTATATAAAGTTAACATTTTTCTGGAAATTTTCACTTTTTTCCCTCTTTACTAGATACAAAAATAATCCACTACCTGTTCCTATGGATTACTGACTGATATGCTCTAATGTGAAATATAATTTTATCATCAAATTCATATTATTTATCAATTCTGGTACGATGATATTGTAGTCAAGGGCATATGTTTAGAGATGTAATTACATCGAGGTGTTTGCAGTATGGTAATCATGATCTTGAAAGTTTACGAAAATAAAACTAGTTAATTAAAGTTTCTCACAACTTTAAAAAAAATGAAAATACATGAATTTCGCACATTGGAAGAAAAATATGGAAATTCATAAAAAAATCATCGGATTGCAAACGCGAAATAATATTTGTTTCCATTATGATTAGTCTGCAAATCTGAATATAATTCCAATCTGAATATGATTCTGAGTAAAATAATGGTTCCTCTAATTATTTCATTATATCCCAAAATGACAATAAAGATTTGCTTTCCAAAAATACCTGTTTTGTTTTCGATTTAATATATTTAAATCATCCACTCTTATCATCCGTACGATAGAAACTTGAACCGTATGTTGTATTGTATTTATTATAATGGAATGATGAATTTAAAACTCTAATCCTAAATTTTATATTGCTAAACGTAATTGTTTGCATTAATATATCAGACAATAATTTGTTTTAAAAATGTTTGCTTAATTTCACTTTGTTTATGGTTACTCTTACAAATAAATGTTTATAACCAGAATGTGAAAAGAATTTAATTACAAAATATAAGGTTAAACTGGAAACAATATTTATTTAGTTTAATATATTATTACTCGAAAGCTGTAGATGAAGTAAAATTTAGGCGGAATTCAGAAAATTATGCGCAGTTTGTTCTTTCAAACCTGTGAAATTTTAAGATGACTGTCTTCTAAAATAATTCTCAGTATCAGCCATTATATAAAATTCAAATAACCTCGTGCTAACTTAATATTATGCGCATTAATTTAATGTCCCATTTTTAAGTTCAAAATTAATTTTCAAATTTATTATTTTCAGTTTACTTAGTAAGCATGTATATTAATTACTCTGTTGCAGTTTTCTAACCAATTAAAGCATGTAATGATTTTACGATTTCTTAAAAGAATGAAAAATATGTGTTTTGGCCCGATTCCAATTCCAGCTACATATTCCAAACTTTTTTCTATTCCCAGTAATGAAATTAACAACTAACGTCATCGATACTTGCTCTACGCACATCCAAAATGTTGGTGAATTTTTGTTGCTTTAAAACTGATAATGAGTCACTTATTCCATATATTGTAGTAATACGTGTCCATAAATTTAAGAACTAGTATTGTTCTTAAGCGGAAGAGCTTAACCCCTGGCATATAATATTCCATATTCAGCACGTAATGTATTACTTTTTTTTTACTTATGTTTCATCTAAGTTTAAACTCTGAATGTGAAATGCATTCCGAAGTAAACTGCACTTAGCATAAATTCAACACACAACAAATATTCTAAAAGCAAAACGCTGCATTATAAAATTCCAACGAATAAATATTTATAGGTAGAATACCAAAATATTTTACCGGCCATATCATAAACAACCCACCAAAAGTGATTAAGAACATTGCTCACCTTCACATATGAGGCCTTGACCTATTAAGCCCCACAGCATATCCGTACAGTGATGACAGTAAGTGGGTTTGTGGAATGTTTTTTTGCTGAAAAAATGCCCCTGTTGCATCACTTCTGGGGGACCTTCTGTGGTGGGGCTGGGATTTTCTGTGCCTCTTGCATTAGGCTTAGCACCGGTAGAAGCCATATTGTTCCAGCTCCGTATAAGAAAAGCCGCCACAATTAGTCCACAACACCTGATGTAAAATAGTCGCAGAACTGCATCGGAAATGAAAAATTCGTGAAATGCTCTTCTTTCTCGGTAACGCCGTCACCTTTTCAAGGCCATTGTGCCAGATGATTTCTGATTTTTTGCTCAACTGCGACTCAGCTTACGATTCTAGAAGAGTCGGCCATTTTTGAAAGCTTACTTCTCTTTCTCTCGTTCTCAGAATCTGTCTCTCACACGCGCGTGAGCCAAACGATCAGCGCAGTATCCTTCTGCGCCGATCCGGAGGGAAGAGAAGCCGACCTTGGAGCAGCCCTCATTTAAGCTTGCGCCCCTGTACTACCCGAATGCCCCTCCAAAAGGACACTAGGAGCACACTTTGTTTTGTGTCTCCCACATTGTTAACTAACGAGAAAACACTCCTAACGTAAAAATAATGCACTTTTACTTAATATGCTAATGCTATACTAGAAGAACATCCATAAATTAGTTTTGAACATTGCGGAAAGATTATCCAAGAGTTTTGAATTTTATTTAAGCACAAAACAATAATTATGTATTGCAGTAGTGGGAATATATAATGCTGAAATTCTATGGTTAATTTAATTGTGTGTTTATTCATTTCGATGAATAGAATTGTAAGGATTATGTTTATTTTATTAACAGTTAAATTTTAAGTTAAAGTTCCTTTCCTGTCAAATTCTTAACTTCAACTTACTACTTCCGGCCAGAACGTAGTTTTGGAATTTCCTGAATATTTAATGAGAGGGAGAGGTATTTAAACCACGAAGTTACTTACTGAGACAGAGAGAGAATCAAAGTTTCTGAACTACGTGCGTCTGCCTTTTTGGCCGCTCTCTCTCTCAAAGCTGTTTTTAAAATGTTTGTAAAAAATGTTTGTAACCAAATGGGAATGAAAAGTTTTACCTCATCCAAATGTATACGACTCCGCTAGACTTCAAAATACATCTCTAATTTGAAAGAGCTCTTGTGTAGATAATGTTTTCCTCTCTGAAAGAGGTTTCCTCAACAAGTGCCCACGACTTTCGAAGAGTAAAAAAAAAATACCTACAAAAACACATCTTCGACACAATCGCGGTTAGTGGGAAACAGGAACAAGAAGCATTCCAAACAGAAATCGCGCGAAATGAAACCTGAGGGGGAGGAGGGAATTTAATTAACTTTCACATTTATTATTTTTTAGTCCAAAGGGATTTGAATCCCGAAGGACTATTAGTTTCGTTTTGGCATTTTGCGTCGGACTCATAAATGTCGGTTCACTTTTCAAACTGTTGCCATAAAATGTTAGAGTCCTGCATTATATTTGAAGAAATTAAATAATGAAAAATCTGCATAAATGTATGTATATTTCTCGTATTGTGATAAAACAACGGTACATAGAGTCATCGAATTTTGAATAACGTAATCCTCCAACGAATATGAGCATGTGGAAGACCAAATTTGAAATTTGAAATTTGTTTTATGATCGATTTCCTATTTTTTAAAACTTTGACGAATTTTTGATTAACAAACTCAAGGATTTCAAAGCGAGCAATGGCAACGTTGTGCAGAAAAAACATTTTTATCTCCAGCGCGTGAGTCTCTGTATCGGAAATTCTAAAGATATGCTCGTTTTAAAACTATTTTGCGATATTGCTGTTGCACTGGATCTTATGGTTTTAAGTGCGAGGAACATGATATTTAATAAAGAAAGGTAACACACAAAATGTTAAAAAACGCCCCTTTGGACGTAATTTAAAATCTGAAACATTTCAGTTTTTTTTTTTTTTTTTTTTTTTTTTTTTTTTTGTGTGCTTCGTTCTATTACTACTTAGTCATGTATGATAATCTAAACATATTTTGATTTGTAACTTATTAGGCCATGATTTGAAATCATTAAATTATAACTGCAAGGATTATATTTTTGAAATTTTAGTCCTTCTGTCATTCTACTTTATTCGGCCAAACTGTTTTGGATCTTGCTGAATATTTAATGAGAGAGAAGCGGTATTTAAACCACGAAGTTACTTACAGAGTTAGAGAGAATCAGAGTTTCTGATTTACGCGCGTTTGCCCTTTTGGCCGCCCTCTCTCTCTCAAAGCTGTTTTTACGCTCGGCCGTACTCAGGCCCTTGCTAAGCTTCGTAGTCAAATAAGTTAAGGGGCCAACTCTAATTGAACCTTGATAGCTTCGGCTATACTTAGTTAGTTAATCTTAGTTTCAGTTTAATTCTTAGTCTTTTAAGTTCAAGACCAAAGTGCGGGCTTTACTTGTACACTCCCAGGCGGAGTTTTGTTAAATCTTATAGAAATAATAAAGGGTTAGTTACCCTCCTCCCTTGTTGTTTCCTGTCATCGAACTAGAGCGATTATTCGCTTATCAGTTCTTAGGTTCCTCACTTCCAACATTAACTTAGAATTCCAAAGACAGAATATATATATACAATTTTAATGAGTCCAACATGTGTAATTTCACGGGCCCACAAGGCGGCCCGTGTCGTTTCTGGGCCCGTGACACATACTGATGGGCCCACTAATCGGCTCGTTAGTAACAGAGATGAAGAACTCCGTTTGTTGTTTTTAAATCGCATAGTTTGTTAATCAGTAATAGACAAATCAAGTTTGAAAGGAAAATCAAATACCTTGTGCTTTGCCTAATGGCAACAAACTGGCACATGGACGATAAAAAAAATATTTTATTTCGAACAGAGGTAACGCCTTTCTTTTAAATAGCCAGTTATTTTAATAAATGTGGATGCCAAATATCTTACGCTTTGCCAAGGGGCAACGCAATGCATTTAAAAAATGATCAAAATATGATTAAACTGGCAAAAACATGAAATAATTATTTTTTAAATTCAAAATTCGGGTTTGGATCTATATACAAGTATGTTTGTACGAAGAATGACGTATATTCCAAATCTGGTGGTTTTACCAAGGAATATACCTACATAAAGATTCTTCATCATTTAATAATATAGAATATAGACGAAGAACAGCGTTTATTGTTTTTAAATCGCTTAGTTTGCTAATAAATAACATAAAGATTAAATTTCGAAGAAAATTAAATATTGTAAACTTTGCAATGTACTGGCATGGGGAAGATAAAAGTATTTAATTTCGGGCAGTGGGAACACATTTCTTTTAAATCACTGAAGTTTTTGATTAAATTTAAAAAGAAATATGTAATCTTAAAGCTTTGCTGAGTGGAAAAAACATTTCTTTTAAATCTGACTTTTCTGATTAAATTTGAAGCGTAAATATCTTACATTTTCCAGATGGCAACTTAATGTTTCTTAAAATTGGCTAATTTTGCTATTTTTTTTTCCATTTTCTATTTATATTAATTTGCGAATAATAATTAGCTAATTTTTTCAATCTTATCTCAGTTCCTCATTTCAATGTTCCGTTTTCTTAGTAAGCTGGCTTTCGAAACTTCTTTCTTGTCTTTTTATTATTAACGTTTCGTTTATATACTAAACATCATGTTTTTTGCACTCACGCCACATATAATCAATAATAATCCAAATTCAATTCCATAGCAAAATCGCAAAATATTTAAGAACAGCGTATCTTTAAAAATTGCGATAGACAGTGTTACACGCTGGAAATAAAAGTGTTTTATTTCGTCAATGTTTTCACTGCTCACTTTCAAAACCTCAAATTTTTTTATGAAAAATTCATTAGTTTTACGAATATGAAATAAATAATAAAAAATGTATATCGTCATTCTGTGAAAATATCGAATATTTTTTATTAGATAGTTCACAAATTAATGCAAATTCGTAATTTAAATCAATCCAATTCAAAAGTAAGACACGAAGATTCTTAAAAACGGCATCTATTGTTTTCAGACAGCTTAGTTTGTTAATCCACACCAAACAGATTCAGTTCGAAAGATAAACTTCTTACATTTTGTCGAATGTCAACAAACTCGAATGAAAAGTGAAACGACGCATGTATAGTGATTCGATACAAAATCCCATTTCGACGCTAATAGTTCTTTTGGACTAAAAAGAAAAAAAAAAAGTTTTTAAAAAAATCTGAAAGCATTCATATTTTATATTACGCCCAAAGGGTCGTTTTTTTAACGTTTTGTGTGTTACTTTTATTTATTAAGTATCACGTCCTTCGCACTTAAACCATGAAATTCAATTCGACAGCAATATCGCAAAATATTTTAAACAATATATCTTTAGAATTTCGGATACACAGTCTCCCGCGGGCGTTTTCTACATGAGCGTTTTCTTGGTTTCCCCGTTTGTAACATGTATACCAGTCAGTTTCTCTTAGAACGTCCTCCACGAAGGCATCCCTTCCCTTAGGCAGATAGCCCTCAAGGCTTTGCCGTAATGACATAAACCAAACTAAACCGGAGAAATGTTCAAATCTCCTCTGAGTGGTGATGACATACATCATGATCCTTTGTTAAGACATTGTTGCTACAACCGTGAAGTACATATTTTAAAGTAACTACGCATATTTAAGAAATGAGTTTCCTTATATTTGCTGCTTGGCTACTCACTAGGATAAAGACTTTATGCCAAGTTTTTGTTCTCCAGAAGTGTTTTTTTTTTTTTTAATGGTATTTTTGTCTAGTATGCGTCAAGCTACAATTGCTTTAGAACTGTGCATAAAGGAAAAAGATAAATTAATAAACTTTTCCATGTTTAATCATTGTTGGTCACTTCAACATTCGTTTGACTTTTTTTTTTTTATTTTTTTTTTTTTTTTTTTTTTTTTTTTTTTTTTTTTTTAATGCAGAAGTTATCATCAGAAACTTCTCTTCATTTAGTAAATTCCACGGACTACGTCATTATAGCGCTCCTTCCACCTACTATGCTGCCTTTATCATTTTACTTATCAGTAGTTTTACGTCTGTAATCAGTTAAACTATCTTTATCAGTAGTTTTCGTAGAACGTCGACTAATCGCCTTCAAAGACTGTGTTTTCCCCCCACCAATATCGGAACTTATTTCTGCGCTATCACATAAATAATGCTAGTCACAAGAATACTGCTATTGTTATTCAAAAATTTGCTATGCACGAGTTCGGACAGCAGTTCTAGCACCTGTATCATGTGACCTGATCACGTAAGACAGCGGTTCTCAACTTTTTGACTAACGCGTACCAGCTAAACAAAAATTGAAAACATTTAGTACCATCACTATTTTACAATGATTATTT